ATTTTTGTTTGCCAGACGAAGGAAAATTAGACAGAATAATCAGGGGAATAATAATTAGGGCTCAGAATAATTAGGACTAGAATAATCTTCCAAAATTGTTGTTTTTGTGTACAAGCTGATCGTCGATTAGGGAGAATAATTAGGAATAATAATAATTAGGGCTCGAATAATCGTGTCTCCTGTTCCCAAATTGTCCATTTTTGTTTGCCAGACGAAGGAAAATTAGACAGAATAATCAGGGGAATAATAATTAGGGCTCAGAATAATTAGGACTAGAATAATCTTCCAAAATTGTTGTTTTTGTGTACAAGCTGATCGTCGATTAGGGAGAATAATTAGGAATAATAATAATTAGGGCTCGAATAATCGTGTCTCCTGTTCCCAAATTGTCCATTTTTGTTTGCCAGACGAAGGAAAATTAGACAGAATAATCAGGGGAATAATAATTAGGGCTCAGAATAATTAGGACTAGAATAATCTTCCAAAATTGTTGTTTTTGTGTACAAGCTGATCGTCGATTAGGGAGAATAATTAGGAACAATATTAATTAGGGCTCGAATAATCGTGTCTCCTGTTTCCAAATTGCCCATTTTTGTTTACAAGCTGAAAGAAAATTGGGTTAAATTTACCGTACTTCCCTTCAGTCGTGGATTTAAGAACAATCGGAGTGCTTCGTTATTACGAAACGATAAAATCCTAAGATTGGAACTATCGCGGGTAACGAAATTGATGATCCAAGCCCGACGACAAACTCGCGCACGATTAGTCAACGATGCAAATCTCGGGCCGGAAATTCGTGTGCGATATCGGGGTATCTGTGACAGAGACCCCGGGTGAAAAAGACGTCATCGTTGAGAAATTTCAGGCTTGCCCTGCGCAATCTGTAAGTGCAAATTGCAACGCGTGATTGTGCTCGGAAGGGTATGAATCTTACCTCGCCTTTATACAGTGCGCGGTATCGCCGAATGTATGCTAAACCGTTTCCGCGGCTTCCGAAACTGCAGGGGCACGCAATGCATTCGCTTTCGAACAATTTCAGATCACCGATAACGCGTTAAACGTGATTACGTAGGGATTACTTACGCATTCGTGACAAAAATGAGCCGATTATAATGTATAGAAAACACTGAAAATAAATTTATAAAATTTGAAACGACCGTTTCGTTATTTTGATCTTGTTCAAATTATTTAGTGGAATAATCAATGACTATGCAGTTGCTGCATCTTGCAAGCAGACAGAATAATCAGGGGAATAATAATTAGAGCTCAGAATAATTGGGAGTCGAATAATCGTATCCTCTCTTTGAAAATTGTACATTTTTTGTGTACAAGCTGATCGTCGATTAGGAAGAATAATTAGGAATAATAATAATTAGGGCTCAGAGTAAGGCAGACAATTTTTTACTTCTCATAAAAATCCGCAGTGTCTAGTAGTTACTTTCTTTCTTTTTTAACGTATATTTATAATATATT